TGTTAGCTTTACAATACTGAACGTTTATAAGTCTACCGGTTTAATTTTAGTATTTAACATTGAAAATTTTCTACTTAGTGTATAGAAAAATCTAAAGGATTGCAAATAACTTTTTTAAATTTATTAAAATCCAGGTATATGAAAATGGTAACTATAACACAAATGTGTACATGGTAAAACTTGGAAGATCACTGGAAGTTTCAATGGTATTTGCAAAAACACTTTTCTGATCCAGCGGACATTGATATTTGCTTTCAAGCTCAGTGTAATTTTATTTACAATATGTTTCGTAGTCTTACCTGTACGCTGTGCGGCGGCAATGATAACACTGACGTCACGTTGCTTTCAATTCTGTACGTAATGCGTACTCCGTCTATTCTAATCTTCATGATCAAATCACTATAAACGGTGTATCATTTTCAAATTATAGCCGCCAAATATTATCGCCTGTATATATTTAATGATATTAAACAATGAAGAATCTGCATGAATGTATGCATGTTTCTCGCACTGTGAAAAAACGGTACCTAGAGCCATCAAATTTTGAATAACGTAATCCTCCACCCGAACATGGGCACGTGGAATCCCAAATTTTGAATATCGAATTTGTTTTATTATCCATTTCATATTTTGTAAAACATCAGCGAATTTTTTTAATTTCAATGATTTCAAAGCGAGTAGTGGCAACACTATAGGGAAAAAACATTTATATCTCCAGCGCGAGACTGGCTATCGGAAATTCCAAAGATATGCTGTTTTTAAGTATCTTGTGATTTTGCTGTTGAATCGAATTTTGTGTGGTTTAAGCGCCAAGAACGTCTTGTTTGATAAGTAAAGTAAAGACACAAAATATTAATAATAAAATGATATTTTTTTGGTAAAGCCTTAATAAGAAAAACTGAACATTGATATGGTGAACTTAGAAAAGACTGAGAAAAATGTTTGCCAATACTTAACGGTGCATCGGGAATTCTAAATGTATACTGCTATTCTGCTTTTAAAATTATTGCAATGTTGCTGTTGAATTGTATATGGCATAAGTGCGAAGAAAATCATACTTAGTAAAAGCTAAAAAGACAAAAAAAAATAGTAGGAATGAGTGTAGCAGCAGACTGGTAAACTGAAAGCTCAGTGAGAGCTTTAAAAACCATAATAAACCCTTCTGGGGAATTGTTAAATTCTGAAAACTTTCAAGTTTTTAATTTTTTTTATCTTTTTTTTAAACTGCTATATAGATTGTACAATTCGTTTAATCTAAAATTATATATTTCAGTATGTGTATTGCATAAATTTATCGTCCAAAAACCAAACGAGATCATGCATGAGGTTTTATTTTAAGAATTGCCAGCTATGAAATCGGAACTTGTTTGCCGTAGAAAGGATAACTCGAATTTACTATTTCTCTAAAAGCAACCTAATATTAAATGTTAAATTTTCAGTTTGGAAGATGCAGGCAAGAAACTGTGTACATGTCTAATTGAAGTTTTGATGTCAGAAGCGTCTTTCTTTAGTAATGATTCGTAAGATACATCATTATTAATCGTACAGCTGAAATGGCCGAGTGATGTGAGTAATTAATGTAATAAATCGATGCTTATTAGTGTCACTAAAGTTCATAGAAATACACGAATTGACTTCAAAAGGTAATGTCGATAAAATCATAGGTGTAAGTCATTTTCAGCTGTGGATTCTGATAGTTTCAACATATCAGTAATCTGTCGTGTTACGTCACATATATTATTTTGAATGAATGTGGATATCTCTTTGTTATCAATCTGAACCACAGCTTTTCTCGTAATTAAGTTTAAATCTCCATTTCGAAACATTCTAAGCCATTCTATCATTAGTTATACTACCGCCATGCCCATAAAAAACATACAGGAATAAAATAATATAATTTTATAATTTAAAAACTTTTTAATAGAGGAAAGTTGAGATTTGTTTGGTGTTTTTTCATTTTACAACCTCATTGAGATTGCCTGAAAAATCCAATCTTAAAAATGTATATTAGAAAACGGAGAATGTAAGTATCCTGGTAAAAATAAAGATGTCATTTTCGCTAACATGATCTCAAGCTTTAGGAAAACTATATATTTATTGTATTGCGAATAATACAATATGAATTTATAGCTCATTTCCACTTTTTTTGAAGACAACTAATTATTTTAAGATTCATAGAATATGTTAATAAAAAAATAATGGCAAAGCACCATGTTATACATTTTAGTTAGTAGATAGGTGGTTTTTTTTTTTTTTTTACGAAACACATTTTAGTCAAATTCACAGTTCGTTTACAGATGGGATAAACCAAAACTTATTATTCTCTTTTTTTATCGTTATTATTATTATTAGCCCAAAGGGACAATTTGCCCAGGAGGGCTATTAACTTCATTTTGGCATTTTGCGTTGGCTCACTATAAACGACGTTTCACTTTTCAAATTGTTGCCACCAAATACTACATCCCTGCAACGGTACCTAGAGACATCGAGTTTTGAATAACGTACTCCTCCACTCAAAAATGGGCATGTGGAAGCCCTAATTTGGAATTTGTTTTATTATCTACTTCATATTTTGTAAACCTTTAACGAATTCTTGATTAACAAACTCAAGGATTTCAAAGCGAGTAATGGCAACGTCGTACAGAAAAAACATTTTTATCTCCAGCGCGCGAGACTGTGCATCGGAAATTTTATAGATATGCTGCTTTTAAATTTTTTGCGATATTGCTATTGAACTGAATTTTATGGTTTAAGTGCAAAGAACATGATATTTAATAAATAAAGTTAGCACATCAAACGTTAAAAAAGCGCCCCTTTAGGCGTAATATAAAATCTGAGAGCTTTCAAATTTTTTTTTTTTTTTTTTTTTTTTTTTAATTTTTTTTCTTATTTTTGTAGTTGTTATTGTTGTTTTTATTTTTCTTCATACCTTAAAAATCACTTCTACCAGTCCATTACACACTCAGGGTGCCGAACTAAGTGGTCTGACTCATAGCGCTGTAACGGTCCACCTATTAACTGCCTCCATAATAAAGAGACTACCACTTCCGGCCAATGCCTATGAACGACTAGAGCCTGCCATTGGCAAAAAAGGGGTCATATAAAACCCTATTTGTAGCTCTCCTATGTATACTGATGGTCTTACGACTAAGTATTGTTATTAGGTTGGCTTAGTCCTTAAGTCCAAACCAGGCATTTGCACTTCTGACTCGGCACAGCACACCTGACTCGTAAATTTGTAGAGTTCCTCACTTTGTAATTACTAAGTTACTGTTGGAAGTGAAGATTCTTAAGAACTGATAAGCGAATAATCTCTTGAGTTCGCGTAACAGGAAACAACAAGATAGAAGGGTAAACTAACCCTTTATTATTCCAACTAAAGTTTAACAAAACTCCGTCATGGAATGTACAATAAAGTCTACACTTGGGCTTGAACTTAAAGAGACTAAGAATCAAACTAAATTAATCTTAACTAAAGATATATAGCCGAAACTATCAAAATTCTAACACAGTTGGGTCCTTAACGCTAATAGACTGCGAAGCTATCAAGGGCCTAAAGTACGGCCGAGCGTAGTAATAGCTTACGAGAGAGCAGCCTAAAAAGGCGGAGGCGTGCAGCCAGAATATCTGGTATCTTTCTTCCTAAGACAGCAGAACTTCGCGGTTAAATACCGCTCTTCCTCATTAGCATTCAAACGTGATTCTAAAACTACGTTCTGGCCGGAAGTGGTAAGTTGAAGTTAAGAATCGACAGGAAAGGAACTTTAATTGAAAATTTAACTGTTAATAAAATTAACATAATCCTTACAAGTTAATAACGTAAGTTTCGGCACTACTTTATACGAAACTGGGCCATAATTCCAGCAGAAAATGCTTTTCATCTCATAACATTTAAGTTTTAGTAATATGTAAGACTTCGAAATCTATGCTTCCGTTTGCATACCTCGTTCCCTGGGAACAGGACCGTATTTTGACTTGATAAGGCCCTAAGCTATTTGAGATATGGGGCCCTTAATAGGTCCAGATATCATATGTCAGTGCCAAATATGATTTTTGATATCTAGAGGGTTTTTTGGAGGGCGCCCAAGCAAGATAGCTTGTGTAGCTTATGCGTAAATCCTTCACTGTCTGGGAAACAAACCGTCGACTGAACTTGAGACAATGACAAGCCTCCACCTGTGCCGCACCTTCCAGAAATTAAAATAATTTACTATTATAATTTCGCGGTCACTATGGTTGTATCGGCGGTTTCCGTTAGAGACCGCCGATACAAATGTGTCTATTTTTTTTTTCTTTCGTGCCCACGTTTTTCCGCTAGAATTTCCCTCTATATTCCATATTATTTCCAGCATTCTGTTTAGTTTCATTAGTAACGCTTTAACCGTTTTAGTTGACCAGCCTTTCATTTGCTAGAAAAGTAATGATTTGTGTTTCTCTCTCATCCCGTGAAGACTTAAATTCAGCGGAAGAAATGCACAGGAGTGCTGTATTTGCATTCTTTAAGTTAAACTGCATCGAATTCCACTTATTGCGTTCATCGTGGAATAAGCATGGCAGTTTTATTCTGTGGTTCTTGAAAAGCATGCCATGAAGAGGAAATTAAGCTAATTCAGAGACTATAATTAAATAATTCAACCAAAAATTCTCTCCACTTTTTCTCTTTCGCGATGGACATACTAGCTTCAACCGCCATCTATCGGAGGAAAACGGAACGAAATATGGATTTGAGAAATAAAGCATGTCCCAAAACAGAATTAAAAATTGATGTGAAAGAAAGGCCTCGTAAAGGTAATATAATCTTTTGACAGGAAAGCATTTGAATCGTAGCTCTAGAAATAGAACAGCTGTCATAAAACTTTCACTGACGATATATCACCGATCGTTTGCTTGAAAACATAGCAATCATTTGTTTTTATTTATAGCATTTTCCACCTTACCTGAGAAATCATTTCTATTTTCGACTTTTTTATGTTCTAGTAACAATTTGGATTTTGTTTCAGGCCGGAAGAAATAATCCCACTGTAAAACTATGGGTGATTGATTTAACGAGAATGGATTACGCTAAAAAAGAAATTGTGCCTCCTGATGATTACAAAGGAAAGTAAGTTTTGTTGATCGTTTACAAGCCTTCTTTTCACATTCTTTTATGGCACAGTTTGTAGCTGTTTTCGTACTAAACTGCATTAGTGCTCTTTATTAAAACCTGCATTAATATTCTACTTTAATGTTAGAAAGTTATTTTACGAATCTTTCCTTTTTTTCGGTAATTTATTTTCTGCTCGCTTGGCAAGCAGCCAGGTCGAGTGTTACAATTGGACGTGACATACGATTATTACTTTAATTGCAGAGTTTAAAACCTGTGTGATTTAAAACAATAAACACATTTTGTAAAAGATGAAATATTTATTTTACTTACCTATGTTATATCAAATTTATATAATTAATTTTGTAAACATTTACAATTCTAAGAATTGGTTTATTTACTTTAAAAAGGGCTTATTTGAAGCAAACGAATTGTTTTCGAAATAATGTTAGCTATTTTAGTTAATATTATTTTGAAAATATATTTGCATATATTAGGTATATGCAAATATATTTTCAACAATATTATATTTCTCTACAAAACGAACAGAAAATTATCATAACATACAGTGACTCACATTTGTTTTCGGACACTTGTGTTTTTATATTTGTATTTGCAAATATCAGTTAATAAATATTAGCAAAATAAGTTCATTATTCTTTCACATATACTGTTGACTATTTATTTTGAAACCCGCTTGTGGTGGAAAAAGGTATTCAAAATGTTATTTGTTAAAAAAAAATTCATTCAAAAACTTCTGAAAATGAACTTACATAAGCATTCGAACACTTCGAGTAAACAATATGTACTGAATAAAAACCTGAAAATAACGAGACATTCAGTATTTCTTTGCATATTTTTTGGCTAAACTTACCCATTTCGTGCATTTTGGCATGGATTCAACTATGTTTTCTAGTAAGAAAGTTCCACATATTCCATTCCTACGTAAGAATTACTTTTAGTAGAGCTTTCAAAGAAATATTATATTTTCTTATTCTTTTCTCCAGCTCACTCCTTACATATTCCACAGGATTTAAATCCGGAGAATATGGATAGGTTCTTATAACTTCAGAACAGTTGTATAATAACTACCAACGAACATTTAGGGCTGCATGTTTAGGATCCTTATCTTGATGGATCCTGAACGTCTCCTGCATTCCAACTTTTCTTGGGAAAGCTTTCAGATTTTCATTAAGTATTTTTATACTAACTCTTATGATTTTTGATAAATGCTAAATTTCTTATTCTAAAAGCAGCAAACCATTGCCAAACGATTATGCCTCTTCTCTGCCAATATTAGACAAGAGATTTTTCAAATTCAAGTCATAATTTGGATTTTACTAAATATTAATTCGCTTGTGGGATCCAAATATATGAATTACATTTTGACGTTTCTGCAAATATAATATTGCTCCAATATGGTAAAACATTGCTTACTATAGATTTTGAGAACACCCGACGTATTTTCCTTGTTTTCTTTTGACAAAAGATTTTCTTCTTTCTGATCGCCCATTTTAGCCATATGTCCTAACCATATGCCTCTTCTAACAGCTTCAGGGTTAACTTTTATTGCAAACTATTTTTCTAAATCTGCTTTACGTTTCGTAATATTCATTTTCGGGCTTTTTTAATTTTTCATAGAATAAACTTGTGATTCCTTGGTGTTAACTTGGAATGTGCCCCAGACTTTCAGACTTGAACAATTCCAAGCAATTATCATCCTTTTGTAACATCAAGATACTTTAATGTTTTATATCAAGGTTTTTTTGTGTGTATGTGTTTAGAATACTCTTATCATCTTTAAAAATGATGAATTATTAAATTTCTAACAGACTTGGCATTTAACATGTGGTGTCTTGCATGTTCACTTCAGATATGGTATTGTTCATGTATTTTGTTAAAACAAGTAAACATTTGCAATTCTTGTGATGTGTTTTCATTTAAAACAAAATGTTATAACAAGAGACATTGTCTACAAAAATATTTGAACAAATATTTGGAGTAATATACCCATAAATATCGCGTCGGTGCACATTGCAACGATAAAAGGACGCACAAGATGATGTGGAACCTCGCCGCGATATTATACGGCAATGACTGAAACACCAGGAATCGACTAATCGAAACACCAGGAATGACTGAAACACCAGGAATCGACGAATCGAAACACCAGGAATGACTGAAACACCAGGAATCGACGAATCGAAACACCAGGAATGACTGAAACACCAGTCGAGAACGATCGAAACACCAGGAATCTGAAACACAGGAATCGACGAATCGAAACACCAGGAATCGCGACGATGAACACCAGGAATCGAGATCGACGAATCGAAACACCAGGAATCGACAATCGAAACAACAGGAATGACTCGACGACGCAGGAATCGACGAATCGAAACACCAGGAATGACTGAAACAACCAGGAATCGACGAATCGAAACACCAGGAAGACTGAAACACCCAGGAATCGACGAATCGAAACACCAGAATGACTGAAACACCAGAATCGACGAATCGAAACACCAGAATGACTGAAACACCAGGAATCGACGATCGAAACACCAGAATGACTGAACGAAACACCAGGATCGACGAATCAAACACCAGGAATCGACCAGAATGACGAAACACCGGAATCGCGAATCGAAACACCAGGAATGACTGAAACACCAGGAATCGACGAAGAATCGAACACCAGGAATGACTGAAACCCAGACGATCGGAATCAATCGAAACACCAGGAATGACTGAAACACCAGGAATCGACGAATCGAAACACCAGGAATGACTGAAACACCAGGAATCGACGAATCGAAACACCAGGAATGACTGAAACACCAGGAATCGACGAATCGAAACACCAGGAATGACTGAAACACCAGGAATCGACGAATCGAAACACCAGGAATGACTGAAACACCAGGAATCGACGAATCGAAACACCAGGAATGACTGATGAAACACCAGGAATGACTGAAACACCAGGAATCGACGAATCGAAACACAGGAATGACTGAAACACCAGGAATCGACGAATCGAAACACCAGGAATGACTGAAACACCAGGAATCGACGAATCGAAACACCAGGAATGACTGAAACACCAGGAATCGACGAATCGAAACACCAGGAATGACTGAAACACCAGGAATCGACGAATCGAAACACCAGGAAGACTGACTGACCACAGGAATCGACGAATCGAAACAACAGGAATGACTGAAACACCAGGAATCGACGAATCGAAACACCAGGAATGACTGACCCAGGAATCGAATCGAAACACAGGAATGACTGAAACCCAGGAATCGACGAAGCAAACACCAGGAATGAAAAAAACACCAGGAATCGACGAATCGACACCAGGAATGACTGAAACACCAGGAATCGCGAATCGAAACACCAATGACTGAACACCAGAATGACGAACGAAACACCACGAATGACAAACACCAGGAATCGACGAATCGAAAACACACAGGAATGACTGAAAACCAGGAATCGACGAAACGACGAACACGGAATGACTGAAAACACCAGGAATCGACACCAGGAATCGACGACACAACAGGAATGACTGAAACACCAGGAAATCGACGAATCGAAACACCAGGAATGACTGAAACACCAGGAATCGACGAATCGAAACACCAGGAATCGACGAATCGAAACACCAGGAATGACTGAAACACCAGGAATCGACGAATCGAAACACCAGGAATGACTGAAACACCAGGAATCGACGAATCGAAACACCAGGAATGACTGAAACACCAAGTCGGCGCGACCGTTCGTTGCTATCCCAGCTCATACTAGTAAGCCTTCTCCTCTGTTATGATCTCTTTCGACGATTTTTGACGCTCGATAGTGTGTCTCTGGCTCTCACCATATCATTGCCCTTCGAGAATAGTTCTGGATGAATAGTCCGGATGAGGTGGAAATACAAAAAAACTGAATTAGAATTACGATCTTTCTGCTTTTTAATGAAGAAATGTCCTAATGAAATGTGAAATAAATGAATATTTAACATTTTCTAAAAATTTGACAAGGAAGTCTAGAGAATGAAATATTCGAATAAAGTAAAATTTAAAAGTAAGTTTGCCTTTATGAATAATAACTTATTGCACGAAATATATCCTTAAAAGTTTTATTTTTATAAATCCTATGCAAAGTGACTTTCATTTTTTCGCTTTTCTAACATCATGCTAACGTAAATGCTTAATTTTTGTCTTCATTATATATATTACATACCTGCTTTAGTATCTCAAGTTTAACAAATTTCATTGCTAAAGCGTTAGATACGGATTTAGATGAAATTTAAATTATTCTAATTTCAGTAATAATTTGAATGTCTGCCAACAGTTAGTATTTTCCTTCCATTCCTCATCTTACTACTATTATTTCCATTATCTTCCTTATAAAAGATGGAACGAAAACAGAAAATTCTTCATTAAGTAATGAATATTTCTTTTTGTTTTAGTATGCAACTGCAGACTTCATTTATTGTAAAAAAAAGTATAATTGGAATAAGAAAATCGAAAAATATATTTCAGCAGTAAAAAATGCTTTAAATTTTAGAGATTCTCAAGAGATTTCAGACAAAGAGGAAATTTTTATCCTTCGCATTAAATTGCCTTTGTAGAGAAGACTACAAAATTTTTATTCAGTCAGAGTTGAAATTCGCTCAACTTGCTTGATTATAATTGGCTTGATTATCTCAATTTATAATGCTGAGCTTTCTCTGCTCTCCTTTAATCGAATGTATGGAAATGTTTTCTTGCCTTTTTGTTTATCGTATAGTTTTAAATGTAAAAGATAGTTATAATTTATCTATGCCTCGGGACTATTTGCTGTAGAAATTATTTAATTTTGTTTCTTTAGATAATTTTAGTATATCAGTTACCTTGTTATTGCATAAATTATTGAAAAGGTATTTGTTTGGCTTCGAATTTATTAAGTACAAATGTCAGAGTTAAAAACTAATCTCTTAGTATTGTTATTTACACTCATGTCCA